GTTAAAGTTAAAGAAACAGAATGACGAATTTTTTATAATAACGATAAAAAGGTAAAAAGGCAAATGAGCCCCTATAGTCATCAAATGGTGGCAAATCAACCCCTAAACAAAAAGCAGACACATTTAACGCCTAAACTCATCAGATGGTAGCAAATCAGCCCCTTATTTGAAGAATCATGTCAGATAATCGGCAAAGTTCAAAGGCAAGCTCATTTTTGTGGGACCCACTGATGACGTGGTGCTGAGTGTGACCAAAAAATATGATCCACGAGACGACAGCATTTTATGAAGGAAGAGCCGATCAAACAGTGATGTGGTGCGAGTTTGACAAAGTAAAGGTGATGGGTCCCACTCACGTTCTTTTTGTTTAATTTATATGGATCCCACCCAACTACTTTTTCTTAAACTTTTTTTGGAAAAAAAGGAAAAATTAAAGGGTTTTTATGTACTAAATATATATTTTTATTATAAATTTATATTAAATTAAAAAAATTCACTTTATTAAATGTTACAAAACAAACTCTTTAACTTATTAATCATTTAATTAAATTTATTTATATAATAACAATATTAAAATTAATATCAATTTTTATTATTTTTTATAAAAAAAATTATAACAAAAACATGCCTTTAAAAACTAGTATTTCTTTTCTGAAATCAAATAACCGGTACGCTTGGGTTCTACCTCGTTTATAGAACCCAAAATCATGTTGTTAAATTCCCTTCCAAAAACTTATATAAAAACTGTACAAAACATGTTGTTTACTTTTCCCTTATGATATGCAGAGAAAACGAAGAGACGAAGTTTATTTATTTAGTTATTGTCATGCCCCAACCCATTTAGGCATAACAAACGTTACACATTTATAAGTTAATTTCATAAATGTGTAAGTTTATTTTTTAGTATATCAATACAATTTTTCATAAAATTTTTAATATAGCCATGCAATTTTAAAATAAATAATTTTATTAACAAATCTTAATAGTCTCAAAATAACAATATCAAATCTCTTAATCAAAACATAAAGTGTTTAACATCTTATTTTATAAAACCAAATAAGCTTCTAATTGACTTATTACTAAATTCTTGCCAGTTTATCTTATCGATCTCTCAATCCCCATGTAAAATCTAATGCTCATACTTCTTCACCTAAAATAAGATGAAATTTGAAAACGTGAGTTTAGGAATTTTGTAAGTAGTATATCCATCCATTCCAACTAAGCATAAAAATTTAAAACTAAATTTTTATTGAAAATAAGATGATAAAAGTTCGTTTCTTTCCTCAAAACCAGAATATTTCAATTTTTATCCCTTTTGACTGTGTAACAATCCACAATTCATGATCAATGATATTCAATCATCAATCCACAAGACACAATCCATGGTCCACAATACACAATGCACAATTTACAATCCATAGATCCCGGATCTATTACAATACCAACAACTCAACCCTCACAAGAGTTAATCATATAGTCAAGACAACAAAAGAAACCGTTCCAAAAATAACCATTTCAATAATAGTAGAGAAAAACAAATTAAAATTAGCCACATTCACATGACCACGATCTCATCTCAAACTTTAATAAAAATATTATACTTGGTCCACAAATCATCTTATTCCATCATTAAAAACATTTTAGTAAAAAAAAAAAAAATCATTCTCAATAAATAAACAAAAAGATAAATAAATCAAAACTAAACAAAACCCATTGAAATCTATCAATTTACTTTGAAAATACTGAATGGTATGACTACTTAACTCAATAACTATCTTTCAATTGCAATTACCACACGAAACGGAAATAAACATCAAAATAAACATAATTTAATCACTAAATAAAGTTTATTCTAAACTTATCAAATACTTATTGAAATAATTTTATAACCTACACCACTGATATACTCTTTTTCAAACCCAACCACTCCAACACATACTTTTAAAAACTAACCACCTAAATAAATGATTCCCTCCTTTGAAAATTCCTCATTCCACATCACCCAAATTCACAATTTAAAGATCAATTCCAAAACCAACAAAAAAATCAATTCCTTAACCCACGCATCTATCCATTCTCTTCATTTTCAAATTCATAAATATTTCAAGTTTAAGAAAATAATTTACCTTAGATTAGTCTAATATGGCAGATCCCTAAGCTATGTCCCCCTTGCAAACAAGAGGAAGAAAGAAAAAGAATGAAACTGCCTAACATTCTATTTTGTGTTTTTTACAAAAGGGAAATATTACCACTTAGTCCCTGAGCTTAAACTATAAGCTTTTAATCCTTCATTTCGTCACCTCATTATAATTTTAATCCCAAATTTAATTTTATCACATATACATCCTCCTTTAAGGGCTTAAATAATTTATTTAAATCTTTAAAATAATAATAATAATAATAATAATAATAATCCTAGTATTACAGTTATCAAAAGATTAAAGAAGAGAAGAAAGGAAGGGAAATTTTTTATTTTTTTTTATAATTTATAATTTATTTATTTAATTATCTAAATAAAGAAAAAAAGTAATAAAAAAATACATCATTCCATTCTCCTCCTGACCATTTTACTCAATTGAAACGTGCGGTTAATTAATGCAATTTAAATAAATTAAAACTTTGTGAGGCAGGGTATGGAGCACGGCCTAGAACCTTGGCAAGCTGATCAAGCCTGGTCCTTTCTTGATCCAGTTCCAATTTGAGTAAGTTTAACTGGCCCGCAAATACATATTTTTTAATTTAAAATTTTTGTCAAGCGCAATTTCATAAATTTAAAAAATTCAATACCAACATTAATTGAAATGTTATATATTTTATAATTATTTATAAAACATAAATTTTTATTTATAATAATCATACAATAAATAGTTGGCCTTAAAACAAACTACACTTCACTTTTTTTAGTTTAAAATTTATATTCCAAGGCAACATATCACAAGATATTGTTCCCAATGGCGAAAAAAAAAAAAAAGGTGCTATATATTAGAAGGCATTTCTTGGTATTACATGACTCAATATGATGAGTCAAAAACAACAGAATCAGAAGAACAGAAAAACCCAATGTCGCAAAATGGCAGCGAAATTCAAGAGCTGGCTCTCATTGTGTTGGCAATGTCGATGACAAATCTATATTTGACATCTACTTTTGACAGGCGCTCCATGGCAGTGTTGACATAGTCGATTGGTATAACTTCAATATCTGCAGTGATGTTGTGTTTAGCAGCAAAATTAATCATCTCTTGCGTTTCCTTCATTCCTCCGATGCAACTTCCACCCACTAACTTCCTCCCTGTCATCCGTAATACATGTCAGCTTCTAGTTTTAAACATCACATATTGATCAAAAAAAGTATCATTGGAAATTCTAGTATAGTTTTTGCAGTGAATAGTGAATTGATTTCTAAATCTGCTTACCCAAAATCAAAGGAAACACTGGTAGTTCAAGTGGCTTCTCTGGAGCACCAACCAACACAAGCTTTCCATGAGACTTCAAGAGGCTAATCAATGGAAGCAGGGCGTGTTGTGCAGAGACTGTATCTATGATACCGTCCAAGGTGCCCGTGGCAGCCTGAAATGAAAATATAATGACATTAGAGTCATAACACATACAATATATATGTCAATAACACTCTTAAAATTAATTTCAAACCAAACAACATGTTAAAGATTGAGTACCTCCAACTCATCTTGGTTACGGCTAACCAAAAATGCATCAGCACCAAGGTTTTCAATAGCTTCATTTTTCTTGTTAGGAGAGGTGCTGATCACGGTCACCTTCGCCCCCATAGCCTTAGC